ATGGTTCTATAGAAGGGCTGATTATGAATCAAAGCCTTCACAATGGAAAAGTGCCAGCAGGTGGAATTTTATTTACTAACAAATCCTAATAGTCCCTCAAATGCGTCCTGAACTCAGAGGCTCACAGATTTGTTGTGGTAATTGTTGTAACATAACGGAGAATCAGTGAAGTAATATAGAAATTTTAAACATGAGAAGTGAAACCTGCAGAACATATAGGGATAGTCCATCTCGGTGTTGGGGAAAAGGGAACAGAGATCAGAATGCTCGTTGTCCCACAGTCAGGCCATTGATGTGTGTTTGTGTTATCTCCTTCCTTTATTGCAACATTGCTGCACTATTTTTTAAAGAAAGATTAAACCTTGGAGGGGTATTCCGATCCTGGCTTTGTGTACCAGTGTGGGTTCGATGCCTTTTAGAAATGATTTATTTTTTAACTGGAATATCCATCCATGGTATCTAGAGAAGTGTTTTCTACAGTGATTTCTTATTTAAGAAAGTTAAAGTATCTCAGAGAAAATATTCTTTATAGATTGCAAATAGTTTAAGCATTATCAATAACTAAATTCGTTTCTTTTACCATTCAATTTATTTGAACAGATCTGGGTTACGTATAGTACAGAGAAAAAATACTGATGTAAAAAAGTTCTTCCAGTTTGAATATGAGCCTCTTCAACAACTGCATGGCTGAGAAATCAAACATGTAAATAGCCCATAAATACTGTTGGTCAGTATCAGGGGCAGAGATTGGACAGCTGAAAGCTGGAAAAATCTTCTTTCTCTACTGTTCTTTCCCTGACCTCTGTAATTAAATCTTACCTTATCCTACAGCATCCCTAAATAAGCTGCAAGGCACATCCTGTATGACACTGGGATGTCTTTTCTCTAGCTCAGTTGGAATGGATCCGGCTCTGTGGCTACAGACAGTATTTGATTTAGTTGTAATCTCTTAATGGGGGCTTCAGACAGGATGTTGGAATGCCCTTAGGCTGAACAGCACTTCAGATGCCCACAGAGGAAAGAAGAGGATGAATTGGAATTATTGGGTCTTTTGATAACCAGCCAAGTTTTAGATCCCAAATAGATATGCTTTTCAAGGCACCCTCCTTGCCTCTGGTTAAGATGCAACAATGCATGTACAAGCCTTTGAAATAGTTACCATAAATCGCAATTAATACAAATATAGTTTTTCTAGCAAAAGATCATATTTTAGGAATGTTTGAAAGCATGATCAAAAATCTGTTTAGGCTGTCAGAAATCTGTGTTTTGATATGTTACAAACATGCAATATAAATAGTAAATTGCAGGGCTTAAACATTTGATATGCTGATCATATCATAAAGGGCGAATGCAAACGATTGTTTAACTCCTTTTTGAATATTGTCACAATAATACGATTGTATTGATGCAATAAATGCTTCAGTTAGAGAAAGTTAGGAAAATTTTATTCAAATTCAGACATTGCTGCACAAGAAAAGGTCCTTTTCTAGGCAGTTTTTCTTCATTGATCTTTGACAAATTCCATTGTATCAAGTGCTGTTGAATGTAATTATACATATTCTATTTTCAGTTCCTGAAAAACTTTGAATTCTTGATGTTTGATGTCAGTAAAGCTACAAATATGAAGAGCATAACTGTAGATGGTGTCACATCCATTGCTTTTTCAGGCCATAGAATAAACAATTATCTGTCAAGCTGTCCATTTCTTTTGTAGTTCTATTACTCCACTGATGGCACTCTACCAAGCTTGTGAACTACTGAGTTTTACTATGTTTCCCTTTCTACAACCTTTATCTTTCAATCTGAGCTTCTGGAGTGGAAGGTCTTAGCAGAGAGTAATAGACAGTATGGTAGAATCTCTGGGAAGCCACATATTCGCTGTCTTTTCTGAGCAGTGATTTTAAGGAAGGACTTCATGGCCCCTTCTTTTCCAAACAACATTGTAGAGAATGTGCTATTGTCAGCCTCACAATGACCCATTGTTCTGTGAACTCTCCTACTCGGAGAGTCCATGGTAGGAGGAGGGCTGTCTGCTTCTCTTAGTTTGTTGTTGTTTGCCTCAGGGAGCTGCCAGAGGAATTCACTCAGTGCATGTGTTGATTTACTGCAGATTTACACAGACATGTATGGAAGCCATCAGAGTTGTTATTCTTGTTTATGGACATTGCCTAAATGGATCACTACATAACTGAATTTTAAGCAAAGGGGTTTTAGATGGATGTATATGTGACTTTGCTTAATGACATGCGTTGTTAGTAATATCTCTACATGTTTGTAGTGGCTGACTTCCAAGGGTCTTCTTTCAGGCTTTCTGTGGATTTATATACATTATGACCATGAAATCAATGGCTTCAGTGTCAGATGACTTGTCTTGTGATGTCTGTGTTAGAGAGATGGATTATTTGAGTTAATTGTTCAGATTAGCTTGTCTTGAGTTGCAGGAAGACAAGTTAAAGTGAGCAAAAACTTAAATGTCTTGTTGCACTAAAAGGAAGATACAATGGTTGATTTGTGAGCCAAGTGAACACAGAACAAATTGAAACAATGGTTTGGGCTCCTGGAAAACAAAAGGGCAGGAGGAAGAAAGGTTAGTTAGAGGATCCTGTTGAAGGTAATCAACTGAGACCTGAAATGTTGTGTGAAAGCCTTCACTTAGTTGGGACAATAAGGGTCAAAGCTGGTTAGGTCAGTTTCTGATTTCAAGATGCTACATAGGTGTAACAGAATTCTATTGTGCTTTACGCTTTGTTCCAGCAAAGGAAACAAAGTGTTGTAATACAACTAACTCTTATTTTCACATTTTGTAATTGGGGGGGGGACATACAATGAATACTATTTTTTCTTAACACCTTATCAGGTAGTCAGATTCTTCTTCAGCACCGTCAGCAACACTACTATGGCGTGAAAGCGCTCTCTCCACTTTTCAGTTGTGCTACATAGCGCTGGGGGGCTGCTGCACGCGTGTCAGGTTGAATACTACCTTATTGCACAGTGCGCTTCACAGTGAAGGATGCCTGTTAGCGAATCTGCCGTGCGGTATATCTTTAGTCTGGGTTAAATGTCTCAGATCAGCATCAGCAGGTGACGGGCTCACCCTAGCCACAGCAGCAGATAAAGCTCCCAGTTAAATGAACAGCTGTCATGACACCGCATGGTAACCGGAGTTAGCACAGTTCTCCTGGTAGCTCGCAGCCTTGTGAGCAGAAGTAAATGGAGGGTGATTTGCTGCTGGCTCTGCCCTCCCTCTTCTAAAACCTGAAGTGTGTGTTTTAAACCAGTGGTCATGAGCGGAGCTGGGCTGGCAGTGGGTGAAAGACAGAGGGGGGGAAGAGTGTCTGAAACAGCTCCAGCCCTCCTAATGTCGCTCCCTCTGGGGTGCCTTCGTCAGGTCATGTCCCAAAAATAGCAGCGGGCGCCGTTTCAAGTGAAAAACCGCCGGCTTCGGGGCTGCAGCCAGCCTTGGAGTGTGAGATTTCCATGGGAAATAGTTGGCCCCCTTCCAGTGTTTTTTTTGATCTGACTGGCAGATGAGCTCGCAACTCTGGGAAACACATGGGAAACACGTGAGTACAGACTCCACTCACACACACGGACACGCACACGCCCGAGTGTTTCCTCCAGCCCTCACATACCTAACTGGCGGTACGAGCACTGAAAAAGAGGAGTTCACAAGAAGGCACAGCAGTTCATACTGATGCATCTCAGCAGGCCTGTTTTGCACTGCTGTATTTGAAGCGCTCTTTTCTGGCCGCGGGTGCAGAATCAGTGTGGTTTTGGTCCAGAACATGTATTTTTTGTGTGTGTGGGGGGCGTAAGATTGTATAAAGTACAGCCTTTTATTTTTCGTGTTGAACACATTGTCCTGACTGCTGTCATCAATTAAATGCACATACTTTGTTGCAGTTTTGTCTCTGATCTTCCTTTTTTAACAAGTGTTTTGGTTCTCTTTCCAAGGGGGATTTTTCAGACACTGATCTGTGCTAGATTCCACCTTCCTATTTCAAAGTTGTTTCATAGTTTATTTAGTTTAACACGTGGAATCCCAAGTGATTTACCCCTTAATACCTGAATTGGCAATCATTAGTCTGTACCACACAATCTAGCTGCCACTACAGTTGCTAGAGTCCGTGGAAATCAGCCAGTCTTTGGATCATTTGACTAGTTTTGTGCTGCTGTCTGAGTATTTGTGTGGTAGATTCTGAATTAGAATTTGCCTTCCTTCAGTCTCTTTTGAAGATTATACTATAGTGTACACGATCCATTAATAATCCCATTTTTAACTGAGACAGTAAACATACAGAAAGGCATTATACACACATTGACAATGGGTAAGAGGTAAGGGGAATGAATGTACATGTAATGGGAAATGCTGTGTTCCTCTAGAGAACTATTGGACTGCTTGGCTTTTATGGCAAATACCAGTTGAAGGGGATTATTGCAAGACCGGTTTGTCAGGACCTAATGATTTTTCTTAAGATTTTGGAGAAAGTGGGACTAAGGTTCTTGTTTTTTGGTGCTGTTATACAGTCTTGCCAGTCTGTATGAAATCAGCCCTGCTGTGATTTGTAAACTCATCTGGAGACCTGAATGCCCTTTTAGTTTTTTCACAGATAGTGGCTGGGTTTGGAAAACCAGCAGACTTTTAACATTCAAATAATTGGCATTAATTGCCGGTCTATCATGTAGATCTTGCTACCTGCATGTTTTTATCCTTGACATTTAGAATTGATGTTATGAAGTAAGGAATCTAGAGCATACTGTATACGTTTTTGAGCTATTCTGTGCATTTGGAAAAAGGAGTGTCTTTATTTCACTTTTGGTCATAACATCTGTATTGTTTTTCAGTGCTGTGTTTGCAATGGTCACAAAAGTTCGACTAGTCTTTTGGTGGAGATAACTTTTCATTTTAAGTTGAATTTTGTGAGCACTGCCAAGGTCTGTGTGACTTGTCTAGATTTTTAGAGCTCTCTGCTGATGTGCTCTTCCGGTTTCCCATCCAGGATCTGTCGGGCTCCATTGATGACCTTCCCACAGGCACAGAGGGGGCCTTGAGCCCTGGAGTGAGTACCTCAGGAGTGTCGAGCAGCCAGGGGGAGCAGAGCAATCCAGCCCAGTCCCCTTTCTCCCCTCATACCTCTCCCCACCTGCCAGGCATCCGCGGGCCATCGCCCTCCCCCGTGGGCTCGCCTGCCAGCGTCACCCAGTCGCGCTCAGGACCACTGTCCCCTGCAGGTGTACCAGGTAGGGCTGCTGGACGGATCCTAGCCTCCTTTTCTGATTACCCACAGTGCGTCTGAAACTGAAACTTAAAAAAACTGACCATTTCCTGATTATTTCTGCTGTCCCATCTTGCAGGGACTCAGATGCCCCCCAGACCTCCAAGTGGGCAGTCGGAGAGTATCCTGCACCCTTCCATGAACCAGTCTGCCATGGGGCAAGACAGAGGTGTGTTTTGGAGGTTACGCATACTGGAGTTGTGAGAATGCTGTTGAAATGACGCCAGGGCAGTTTAAGAGTTTGTAAAACTCCTAATTTTGCAAACATTAAAATGACATTGAAAGGGTGAGAACAGTGGCTTAATGCAGTGATTTGGAGTCCATCCTGCCTGTCTTTTGTGACTTGCAGTGTACATGCAGAGGAACCCCCAGATGCCTGCCTATGGGTCCCCACAGCCTGGCTCTGCCTTATCTCCACGCCAGTCCTCAGGAGGCCAGATGCATGCTGGGATGGGACCTTATCAGCAAAACAACTCCATGGGCAACTACGGGCCTCAGGGTGCCCAGTATGGGCCTCAAGGTGAGAGCGAGTGGTCTAGCAGTCTGGCTAAAACCACGTCTGCACGTGCTTGAGTCTGTTACAGTGTCAAAGTGACATAATCTGCACATCAGGAGGGTGTAGCACTTTGTGTAGTAACCTAGTTACAGGACTCCTGCTGTGGATCTTCTGCTATAATGCTGATTATCCAGAATAAATGCCTTGACGTGTTAATTATGAGCTGCTCCTGATGGCCTGTAGTTAGTTTTAAGAAAAGCTTTCAAAGCATTTATGGAATTGTAATGATAGAATATTACAGCTAGCACAGAGTCCAAAGCACCTATTCATTTCCCATTTGCTGGAAATATTTCAGAATTCACCTTGGACACTGTTATTTCACTAACTGTGAACTCAATAAAAACTTAATTAAACCTTGCACTGAAGCTATTGATAAAAACATTGATTTATGAAAACTGCTTTCTGTAGGTACTGATTTAATGTTTCAAATGATAATTGATCATGCATTCCAGAAGGTTCCCTACTGGTATTGTAGCTACTCCTGAAATATTTTGATCGACTTTTCTCCTAGTTGTTTGAACAAACTGTTTGGTTATTTTAAATAGAAAATGAATACCCTGAAAATTTCACTTCAAAGTCCCAGTCTTTTTTGAAGGTCTCAACTTCTTGGTGAATTGATTTTTTAATCGTGGATGTTTTGAATATTGTCATTCAGACGAGACCCTCGGTATAAACTGAAGTGTGACCTCAAAATGATTTGCATCAATTCCAAGTGATGGACTTTCTTGTAAGCTCTGAATAGTTCTAAGATAAAAGAGTAAGCATCACACTTTTCAACAAACATTAAAGATGTTAGTTCGCATAGACTGCAAAACAATAAGTTTTCAGGTATATTTAGAATGCGAGACAACCTCTGCTTTTTGGCAAAATGGAATTACTTAATGCATGTAGGCAGTTTTTCCTTTTGTATATGCAAGCTACAGTGCAGGATTGTAGCCTCATTTTATTGCTGAGTGTGAAAGACTATTTGCAGTTTTCAGATATCTTCTCTGAACTGCAGAAATTCATTATTTATCCCAAATAGAAAAGGAAATGTAAAAATTGTAGGGCTTATTAGTGTTGTAAAACCTAAGGAATTTACATTTAAACTGACTCTTAACCTACTGCTTACTCTTAACTTTCTTTTCAAGTGTTCATTGTTGTACCACCCTCAAATAAAAACACAAATTTACTGGGAAGCCGCAGTAGGAGTGAATCTTATCTGGAGAGTGTTGCTTTTTAGTCTTTTTGATTATATCCAGATGAAATTGTGTCAAGTGCAGTGTTGGGATTGTTTTCAGACATCCTCTTGGCAAGTTTTGTATACGCTGCTTGCTTTTCAAGCTGTATAATTTCCCTGTACTGCCCTTTCAGGATTACATTAACCATGTTCAGCTGATTGCAATGAGTGTGAGAGTCAGTTTTTGTATATCCCGGAAATAATATAATAATTTTACAGATTTTCATGTGTGGTCAGTACAGAGACTCCTAGGTCTAGCCATTTGTATTGGTGTCAAGTGCATATAATACTTCTTCATAGTTTTCCCTTTCTTCCTCCTGTTTTAGTGACTTTCTTGTCCATCCGGCAGGTTACCCAAGGCAGCCCAACTATACTGGCATGCCCAACGCCAGCTACCCTGGGCCTGGAATGGGTGGCTCCATGAACCCCATGCCTGGGCAGGGAGGGGGGCCACCATACACAGGGATGCCCCCGGGTAGGATGGGTCCGGGACAGATGGGCACCCGCCCCTACGGCCCCAACATGGGCCCCAACATGGGCAGCATGCCCCCTCAGGTGGGGTCAGGGATGTGTCCTCCCCCAGGTGGGCTCAACAGGAAGGCCCAGGAGGCAGCCGCAGCTGCTATGCATGCAGCTGTGAACTCCTCACACAATAGGTAGGCATTATTGTGTCCATCTACATAGGCTTTATGTCTCGTACTGATGAAAATCCAGGTGTCTGAGATATGCCAAAAATGTATCTTGAAATCCTGTATTCTGAATTCCTGGTTGCTTGCTGCTATTTTGAATTTTAATTCTGGATATCAATAACTGCAATCAGTTTTGAGGGGTGTTGCATCTTTAAATGTTTGAAGTTCACGCATCCTAAATCTAAGTAATTTTGCTTATGAAATTCGGCAATCTTAAAGAAAATGAATTTTAACTATGAGACTCATGTCGGGTTGCTTATACAAATGGTGGGTTTTGTCATCATAAAAATCAAACATATGTCCCTGGTACCAACTGTTTGAACCCCACTTACATCAGGGGGGCCTTGATCCACAAGACAGAACTGACTGCGCTGCATTCATAGTGTTGAAATGATCCCAGCAAGATTTGCTTTAGCCTCTTTGAAGATATAGTATGAAAATAAGTTTCCCATGTTTTTTCATATTTCATGTGACCCCTCTGTAGATGATAGTGGTGTCATTTTAGTTGCATGTAAGCAGCCAACAGATCAAGGCAAGATGTATCATCCTCACTTATTGCTAAGCCTACCTGCTCAATTCATTGCAGCTGCTACTGAGCTGAATTTAGGTCTGGTGTAGCCATTTCATTATTCCCAGGAAAGTGTAAAGAAGCCAGTCTCTTGGAAGAGTGCTTTTAAATAGGGAATGTTAACTGTAGAAGGCAGGCAGTCACATGGCACACAGAGCAGGATTCTGTGGCTGCTGTGCTGTCTCCATAATTGTCCTCAGCCTAATTAGCTTTGTTCTGTGTTAAAGGTCCTAATGAGCAACAGGCTGGCTGGAAGGCTGAAATCTGGGAATTGATTAGACAAGCCTTCAGGGACAGGAGCTGTGCAGCTGTCAGTGAGATAAGTTAGGTGATATAGGCAGATAGACAAGCAGAAGGAAGGCAGGAAATTGATGACCAGAGAGGAGGAATAACGTCAGGAAGACAGGCTAAACATCCTGAGCAAGCAGCAGATCAGAGATGGCAAGACAGTGCCTTCTGTTTACTGAACACGTCTGTGCCGAGCTGCTGACCTGGGAAACCAAAAAATGAGGAGGACAGGTGAATGAGAAGACAGGCCTGTTCTAGCTGTGTGGTTATGTATCAGGGCTGGCAAAGCAATATCTCTTCCATTTAAACCCCATTCCTCAGAGCTGTAGCTTTACATCCAGCATTCCTGCAAAAAAACATCTCACACCTTCTACGTCTGAGTCATCTGTTCATTTTTCAATCTGTAAAACCCCTCTGATATGGCTTCCCAGAATGGCTGATGTATACTTCTTTGGTCTTAATTTGAGTAAAAGGTTTAAACAAGACTTTTATTTATGCATTAAAGCGTGTCCAGATCAGTGCATTAACTTCATGAGATATCCAAATAAGTTGGTTTGGACTGGTTGAACTTCTTAATCTCAGTGCTCTGATAACTTTAATATTGTATCTTGCTGGAATATGTCTGTCTATGTTGGAAGTTATTGATGCTTTAATTGGTGTCCTTTTTGTGTATTGGAATAATGAGTACTTCAGGTTTTAAAGAGTCTATTTTGTATGCTTTGTATTCCAGACCACCTGGGTACCCCAACATGCCCCAGAGTGGCATGATTCCTGCTGGCACCCCCTATGGACAGAGTATGAACAGCATGCCTGGGATGATGAACCCCCAGGGACCCCCCTACCCCATGGGAGGCAACATGCCCAACAACACTGCTGGTGAGAAAGCACTGGAGCCTTTGTGGTGCTCAGAGTACATGTGCAGATGAAAGCTGTGCTTCTCAAGCCATATTTCTCAATGACAGCACATTTCGGCTGCAATTGATTTCTTTAGCACATATGGATAATTCTTCTTGAAAAATGGAAGCATTATTGGGCTTAATTAGGAAAAGTATTCTAACTAGTGTTTCCAAAATGCGAGAACCAAACTCACAAGCGACTCCAATGTTGTATTGCATGAGCAGTTCGCTAGTTAACCCTTCTAAACTTGTGACCACAATCCTGCTGTTTCAGTGTCGGACCCGGTAAATTACATTGTGAATTGCATGCCAATAGCTGCAGGGGAGTTAGCATCAAATGCAACGTCTTAAGTGTTCAGTGTTCAAATTTAAAAAGTGCCAGCTGCTGCTTCACTAGGAGCAATAAGATACAGTATTCGGCAGCTGTGTTAGTCATTTTAATATCTTCTAAAGATAGATATAAAAGATTTTTGCAGTTTTGAAGTATTGATTTTTTTTTTTCCCTTTCCTAGGGATGGCTCCCAGTCCTGAGTTAATGGGTCTTGATGTGAAATTAAACCAAGCCCAGAAAATGAACAACAAGGCAGATGGGACTCCCAAACCTGAAACAAAGTCAAAGGTAATAAATTAAACTCTTATCGATGAGGTGTTAATCCCTGCCTTGTGGGACATAGTGTGCAATCTTCAGATATGCTGTTCAGTAGAAAATGGCAAAAAGAATATGCCCTGCATATCTTAAAGGAAAAAGTCCTGAATTTGTGATGTTCTAGTGGTATGTTAGCATAGTATGATAGCTATACTGCGGGCTTTTCTCAGTTATTTTGAGAATAAATACACTTTGGATTTTAAAAAATGGTTTCTTTGTGTTCATGGTAACCAAATAAGGAAGAACAAATTTTGAATAGGGCAGCCCCATGCAGTATTGTGTACTTCTGAGCCTCGTCTTAGTGCCTTCCTAGACTCCCGCACAGAGCCCTCTCCCTGAACCCTGTCTGAATTGTAGAAGTCGAGCTCTTCCACGACGACCAATGAGAAGATCACCAAGCTGTACGAGCTGGGCCCAGAGCCGGAGCGGAAGATGTGGGTGGACCGTTACCTGGCCTTCACTGAAGAGAAGGCCATGGGGATGAACAATCTTCCTGCTGTGGGCCGCAAGCCGCTGGACCTCTTCCGGCTCTACGTGTCTGTGAAAGAGATCGGGGGGCTCACACAGGTAGGACTGCAACAAACTGGTCATTATCCTAGTAGACCACATTATTCTGAAAGGGCCAACATTAACTTTTGAACCCTTTAAAGGGGAAAAATCAAACTCTACATGGCACTGGAAGTCTGCGGATTTAAAATCAATTTTCAGTCATTGTCTTAATTGCTTGTTCTTTTCAGTATCATGCCCTTAAAGGTATTTGCAGACGTCTTTTTATTTTTAATGTCAGTAGCCTCAAATGGTATAAGCAGTTTGGTAATCTAAACTTAATGGGCCACTGATGGAAATTGACAATTTGCCTACACCTTTTTTTGTTTAAAGCTTAATTACCTTTAATTTAACTGCTTATTTAACTGAAGGAGCAGACTGCTTAAGTTGTTTTTTTCTGTTTGTGAAAATAAACCCTAAAGAAACAGCTGAATCTATGCAAGTCACAATCTATGTTCTATGTGACCCAGTATGCGTGCTTTGTGAAAGGGTTACTTACAGAATTAAAGGACGATATTGGAATTTTGTTTATTGATAATGTGATTCATTTGGTTGCATTTCTAAATGGACTGAGTTTTAGAAAACATGCTTTTAGTGCTTGAAGCAAATACCTGTTGGCTTTATTGCTGGATAAAAAGGGTCTACTTTTGTGAAAGAGGAAATTTACAGTTGCAGTATGCTATTCCAGGACAAATTACCTGGCTGGAGATCTGCAAAAATAAGCAGTACATGTGAATCAAAATGTTTTTCAGTTAATTAGAACTTAGAATGAAGTCACATGGCCAGGATTTTCCCGTTACAAATTAAAGATCTTGACTTTACCGCTCTTTGATTATTCTCCAGGTGAACAAGAATAAAAAGTGGCGCGAGCTGGCGACTAACCTGAACGTGGGCACGTCCAGCAGTGCTGCCAGCTCGCTGAAGAAGCAGTACATCCAGTGTCTGTACGCCTTCGAGTGCAAGATCGAGCGCGGAGAGGACCCTCCCCCGGACATCTTCTCCGCTGCCGAGGCCAAGAAGAACCAGCCCAAGATTCAGCCTCCTTCCCCAGGTCAGTGGAGCGGGTTTTCTGGTCTCCAGGATGAAATTGCATTTCATCTCGCATTGACGCCATAATTCGTCCTGTGCTTTTCATTTGAGGGCTTGCTCTGGATTGCTAAAAAACATAAACCTGATTGGATTCGTTTCAAGATCTTGTATTGCCATTGCAAACTGTCATCTTTCATTTTTTATTGAAATTCTGGCTTAACACTCCAGTCACAGTTAACACGGATTGAGTTTTTCCTATCAAATCAGGATATGTTATTTTGAAATGAGTTCATTGCGTGAAGATCTGAGTAAGCTTTTTATGATCTTTTAATGTAGATGTTTAATCATAACAATAACCTGAGGCCTTCAGATCCTCTCCCCCCTTAACTATTCTTGGAACTTTAATTGATCACCCGATTTGTGAAATTTGTATTGATATATGGGGTAACTCTGGCCCCGGGATGTTCAGGTTATTGCCTTAGAAGAGCCTGCCAGTGTTGATGCGTCTTTAAGACCGTGATTTTTACTGCAGGAGAATGAGGATTGTTTTTAAGATTTCGGTGGGATCCAGATTGCTCTGTTTGCCAAGTAATTCCATGTGCACAGGAGGCTTGGGCTTCCTGCAGCATGCCAGCGTGTGCAGAGTGCGTCCAAGAGCTGTCACGTGAGCAGGGATGCAGGGCTCGAGATCGGGGGCAGGAAGGGGGGATTCCTCCTGTTATGCAAAGAATGTCTGTAAGCTGAGTCCTGCCAGTGTGGTCTAGAGGGATACTGTATCCGTGGTGTTGTTGTTTTGGCTGAGGGCTTCAGAGGCAAATTCCCTGGAGATTTGTGCGAAGCCAGAAATGATGAATGGGAAAGGGTGGGTTCTGAGCGTGTGTAAAGTCACACTCTCTCCGAGTTTCCTCACTCCCCCCTTCCTCTCCCTACATCCTTAGCAGAGGGAAATCCCGGCTCAGTAGAGAAGGGAGGAGGAGGAGGGGGGGTGTGTGAAGTGCCAATGTGTGGATGAATGTGACCTGCCAGTGACCCTCGCATGTGTACAAGTTAATGAATAGAAAGCATGAGTCATCAGACACTGCATACTAATAGTGAGAAGTCACGGTTGGTGGTTAAGGGTGAACAGGATCACAAACACACAGGCTGGCTGGAATTCGCAATAATCTGACAGTCAAATGTGACTGGATGATTATTTCTTGAGAGATCTCTAAATTCAGGATATGGAAAAGGGCTTGGCAGAAGAGTGTGGACTGAAAAATGTTTTTTTTGTGCTCAGAGCATGTCTTTTAATTAATGGTGTCTAATTCCATGTGGATTTTAAATGGATTTTGTAATACAGATGTCAAGTACTGGCAAGCAAAGACTTAAGAATTTTGAAGAGCTTTAGATCTGAATGAGTGTTCTAATCTCTCAATCATTTAACATGATGTTATATAAGTATTTGTCATAAATAAAATTTTAAAGATGTGAATTTTGATTAGTGCAATATGTTTATAACCTTTTCTTTTATAAACAATAGAATCTTCACTGTTGTAATTACAGTAGTGAATATGTGAAAAATTGGTGTTTTGATTCTTCTTAACAGATTGAGAGGTGGATCTATAAATGTATAAGCTGCATGTTTAGTAGTATCCTTAAAAAAAAACAAATGAAAACCACGCTAATGGGCATCGGCTTTGTTTTTGCCACTGTCCAGAACGTGATGTCATCATGGCACAGCCAGTGTTCCTCTGCAGATGTTCAGTTGGTGGGTCCAGTCCTGGAACATTTGTTTAGCAGTGTTCTCATGCATTTTCCCTGTCTGATGGGTTTGTGTTCTCTCAGCTGGATCGGGGTCTCTGCAAGGGCCTCAGACCCCTCAGTCGACCAGCAGCTCCATGGCAGAGGGGGGGGACCTGAAGCCTCCCACCCCGGCCTCTACACCACACAGCCAGATGCCCCCCATGCCTGGAGTCAGGTAATCCAGCACTTTCCCAGTTCTTATGAGCTTCCTAAATTCCTATAAATACAATAATGTAGAGGTGTGGAAATGGGCAGATCCCAGTCCTTGGCATGAGACTAGAACCAGATCTGAGGTAGAACCCTGGAACTATAGATTATAGATGGAACTATAGAAATGAACAAGTTTGTGTCTCGGATTAAAATAGATGTTTGAATTCTAGTGTATTACAGTTTGAATGTCCACGCAACCATATCATAAAGTACTAAAGTGTTAGTATTGTACAAATGCTTTTTTTAAGTGAAATAGTCTTTAGTGCAACGTTGGCTTTCTCATCAGTGCTGTGCTTTTTGCCCTGGTTAAACGGTGTTTTTTCTCCCAGGAGTAGCGTGGTAAGTCTGCAGGACCCTTTTGCAGACAGCAGCGACCCAGCGTTCCCAAGGCGAAATTCCATGACCCCCAACTCGGCGTACCAGCAAGGCATGAACACTCCTGACATGATGGGCCGCATGCCTTACGAGCCCAACAAGGACCCCTTCAGTGCCATGCGGAAAGGTGAGGCCCAGCTGCCCAAGCCCTTCGGGGCGGCCATGTCACTGCCTCGTAGCAGACGACAATCTTTCGCAGATCTACGTCCTAAAACTCTTCAACATTTTGTGTGATTCATCAAATTCTGCATTGTAATACATGCACCGTTACTGCAAATGACCCTTTGCAGATTAATTTTTTGTCAGCATGTGCTAGGGGCAGTTTCCTATATACGTTTTTGCTTTCCCTGAACCCCAGAAAAGTGACATTTCACTGAGCTTTCCAGAATAGCTGCAGGGGTGGTTTATGTTGGCAAGGAGCACGTTCATTCAGTAAATAGTTTTTGTGCTTTGTGTTTTCGAATACATTTAGGATTGTTTTATGCTCTCTTTTTATTAAGACTACCTTAAACCAAATTGAGCACACTCTGTGTATTGGCAGATAAGAGAGGTTTTATTTAACAATCTTGGGAGTCTTTCAGAAAAATAATATGAATGGCACTTAAATATATATGTCTCATTTTTTAGCAGTTAATTATTTTATTGAAACATCTGCGCTTCTAGTATTGTTTTTGCATCATGTGGAGTAATTGATGTATTTCAAAAGTCTGTTATTGCTCATTTAGCTGGATGTAATTGGTTTCTCAGTCTGGCATTTTCTTTTAGCATTAGTGGAATTATAGAAATTGTACCTTGATTGCAAAATCCATCCATTATAAGTTACAGCAAAAAATATCTATTATTCATTTTTTAGTGTGTGGCTCTTCATAATTATTCTCCTATGTTTTGATGGTTTAAAACTTATGTATGTTATTGCCAAAGGTTAAAATAGTAATAATAAAGCAATTCTTTGGTAATATTCTGAAATATTGATGGATGGATCCACATCAAGACAAAATGGTAGGAAAACTAATCCTATGGCTACAAATATACAGAAATCGCTGTCTCTTGAGGTTGAACAGTGCTGTCTGAGCAGATGCCACTGAGGCTTTAAAACTCCAAATGTTTAGGTTTTTCTGCTTGAGCATGGTCTTGAAAGATGGCTCACCGCAGAATGGGCATGGGTTTTTGAAGATGTATGAGGAAAATGAGGAAAATGTTTGAGGATCAGTTGTGCTGGGAAATTTGTATGGGCTGAATGTATGTTTTGAGATGAGATCTAGGCTTGGTCAGCAGTTGTTTTTCTCCTCTGCCTCCCTTTGTAGGAGGGGAGTTCATGTCTCCGGGACAGGGACCCAACAGTGGCATGGGAGAACAGTACAACCGGGCTCCCCCTGGGTCTATGGGCAACATGGGGATGGGCCAGCGTCAGCAGTATCCATACGGCCCGGGCTATGACCGGAGGTAGGGCTTTGTTCATGCAGTGTAGAAGTGTAGGAGAAGCCATCTTCCTTATCACCTAGAATTCCAAAGTCAAATTAATAGAAGTACTTTCTCTTTTTTTCCTGCAATTTCTTTTATACACATCTAATTTGGAATCCCCAATTGTATTTTTCACGTCTTGTCTCAAACCCCCAACTTTACAGAGGAGAATGTTGGCTAATGATGTAACTCAGGCTCAATTCACACTGCCTGGCTCATACAGCTCAACTGTGAGTGTCTTTTACAATTGAGACCCTCAGAAGACCCCAGTGACCAAATATACACCTGGAATACAAGTTTTCCATACTGTTAAGAAAAAAAAGTGTGAGTGTAACAACCTGGTTTGAAGTGCTCAGGCACCTGTACGGGCTTTTCAGGGCTTTACTGTGTTATGCATTAAGTAGTAATGAAAACATTTGCAATGCCCTTAATGTTTAATTTCTTCTTTAGAAACTGGCCTTGGATTAAATGGTTACTAGGGTGCTGACACCCAACCACCTGGGTTGACACCAGCGTGATTTATTGAAAACAAATGAACACTTGTTTCTCAGCTACATTTTGTTTCATTGCTGTTCGGTGCCATTTTGTTTTTGCTGGAGCAGCGCAGCTGTGTGCAGTTCTGTGTGTCCCGGCTCTTAGAGAGTTCTGGATCCCCCGTGCAGGGGCCTAACGCCACTGTGTGCTCCTTCCAGACAAGAGCCGGGGATGGGCCCTGAGGGCAGCATGGGACCCGGCGCGCCACAGCCAAACCTGATGCCTTCCAATGCCGACACGGGGATGTACTCGCCAAGCCGCTACCCTCCACAGCAGCAGCGGTCAGTGCAGTGGCGCCGCCCTCGTCTCCAAATGCGCTCCTGCAGTTCCCTGCCACGCGAAACAAGTCTGAAGCCACTTAGGGTCACAATTTTGGTGTCTGTTTTGAGTTTGTCCTCAGGCGGTATTCAGTGTCTTTCTCTTATTATGTAACGATACTCTTAAATTAGTATGGCATGTTTTTGGTTGTGCTTCTGGCTGATGGGCATTACTGAAGTGTATCGACACTGATCGTCTGAAAGTTGCTTGTCGTGATGTCTGTGTTTTTGGTTTTATAGGCACGATTCCTATGGTAATCAGTACCCTGGCCAAGGTGCGCCCTCTGGTGGCCCCTACCCCAATCAACCACCAGGAATGTATGCACAGCAACAGCCGGTGAGACTCCTCATCATAATGTAATGAAATACTACATCGCATAACAAATAACACATAACTGGTTTTTCCCAGTTTTTGTATGAAAGTCTGTAAAGTTGTATTACGCTGCCTGTTTACTTTGAATACAAATTATTTTGTTGATAGTGGATTGTTTTGAAAACCGGTGTCTTAGCTGTGTGTGTAGCTTCTCTCACTTGGTGTTCTTTTCTGGAAAGACTTGGCATTAAAATGACTCATTATTTCTTCCAGAACTACAAGCGTCCAGTGGATGGGGGTTATGGACCACCTGCCAAGAGGCACGAGGGTGAAATGTACAATGTGCCCTTCAGCGGGCAGCAGCAGCAGCAGGCACAGCAGCAGACAGCGCCCCCAGCTCAGCAGGAGATGTACAGTCAGTATGGCAATGCGTATGCTGGGTCTGAGCGGCGGCCCCCGGGCCCACAGAACCAGTTCCCCTTCCAGTTCGGCAGAGAGCGGGTCCAGGCCACGGCGGGGCCCAACTCCCAGCAGTCGATGCCTCCACAGATGATGGGCAGCCCCATGCAGTCCACCCCCGACGGCCCTCAAGGCAGCATGTGGCCGAACCGTAATGATATGGGCTACAACTTCCCTAACCGGCAAGGCCCTGGGGCTGCCGCTCAGGGCCCAGGCTACCACAGCATGAACCGCTCCGAGGAGATGATGCCCTCCGACCAGCGGATGAACCACGAAGGACAGTGGCCAGCCCACGTCAACCAGCGGCAGCCCCCCTACGGCCCCTCGGGCCCCGTGCCCCCCATGACGCGGCCCCTGCAGCCCAACTACCAGACTCCCCCCGCCATCCAGAACCACATTCCGCAGGTGTCCAGCCCTGCCCCCATGCCTCGGCCCATCGAGAGCCGAACGTCTCCCAGCAAGCCTTTCATGCATTCGGGGATCAAGATGCAAAAAGCTGGTCCCCCTGTCCCTGCCTCGCATATCACCCCAGCCCCGGTACAGCCCCCACTGATCCGGCGAGACATCACTTTCCCCCCGGGCTCTATTGAGGCCACACAACCCATCCTCAAGCCGCGCCGGAGACTCACCATGAAAGACATTGGTACGTGCCTCGGCTCTTCGTCTTTCTGAGCTCAGTGCCAGACAGTCAGTACAAGATGAGTTGCATAAATAGTGATTGCTCTAGTCATTTTAATCATTGCTGGTTTTGCGCTTTTTTTTGTGGAGTATTGGCAAGATATGGCTTTCCTGAAGGGAGTTTACAGCTTCATTTTAGCCTTGACCTCTTTCAAATGCACTGCTACTTTTAATTAAAAATTTTCTGGACGTATAAACATTGCTGGATGGTTTCCTTTGTTAAAAAAATCGTGATTGTATTTTAGGAGCGTTTGAATTATTGTAATAATTTTAAATATATGGACAATGTATGTGCAGATTAGTTGGTCAGCCATGGGTTTTGAAAAAAATCACCTTTAACAGTTATTAATTTTTGCAATGTGCTTGTATGAATGTGAAGATATTATTTTGCTGTGAATAGTCTTTTTGCATTTAATTAACGTTCTGTTCCCTCCACAATTTAACAGGAACACCTGAGGCCTGGCGAGTGATGATGTCTTTAAAATCGGGGTTGCTAGCAGAGAGCACTTGGGCCTTAGACACGATAAATATTCTACTGTATGATGACAACAGCATTGCTACTTTCAGCCTCTGCCAGGTAGGATGCTTTTTCCTTTAAACTTAGTTCTTGTTGGGAATTTTTGATGTTGTACTAATATTTTTTTGTGACCTGAATTTTTATTGTAAAGGAATTAGAGAAGCTGTCTTCATGGTTGTACAGAATTCTTGAATTTAGAGGGAACTCAAACTTTAGTCCAATTTTCAGCCGCATCAGCCTATGTCTGGTATAACTTGTAGTTTAAGCCACCGTGCTGGGAAAGTTAGCTTATGTACTGATGCTCAATGTTCATCTTCTTGCAGCTTCCTGGCTTTTTGGAGCTGCTGGTGGAGTACTTCCGACGCTGCCTCATTGAGATCTTTGGGATTCTGAAAGAGTACGAGGTGGGTGACCCTGGGCAGAGGACGCTGCTGGACCCTGAGGGCCTGAACTCCGAGCGAGACACAGGCTCCGAGGATGAGGAGCAGGAGCCAGAGGAGGCAGAGGAGATGGAGGAGGAGGACGAAGACGAGGACGAAGAGCAGCCTGAGGCATCTGAACAGCAGCAGCAGCAGCAGCAAACACCACAGCCACCAGCCTTGGAGAAGCAGGAGGGAGAGCAGCAGAATGGGGAGAGAGCTGGGGAGCAGCAGGAGGAGCAGGAAGGAGAGGCTGCAGTCAAGGACCCCAGCGTGCTCACGCTCTCCCAGGACACTGGCACCGCCCAGGAGAAGCCAAAGCAGGCCAGCAAATTTGACAAGCTTCCCATAAAGCTGGTGCGCAAGAAAGACCCCTTTGTGGTAGATTGCTCTGACAAGCTGGGCCGGTTACAGGAGTTTGATAGCGGATTGCTGCACTGGCGCATTGGGGGAGGTGACACCACAGAACACATCCAGACCCACTTTGAGAGTAAGCTTGACCTGCTTCAGGCCCGGAAACGGGTGCCTCCCGCATCCGGGGGATCGGCGGGCCGTAAGAAGAGCCCTGCGGGTGAGAACGTAACGGAAGGAGTGGAGAAGGTGAAAACGAGTGAGGAGCAGCCCCCGGCGAAGAGCATTACAGCCACCATCGATGATGTGCTTTCGGCCCGACCGGGCTCCATGACGGTGGAGGCGGTGAGGGGCACGCCCGAGAGCCACAAGGAGAACAGCAAGTTCCTTTTCAGCATCAACCCTGCGCAGAGCCACCGCAACATTAAGATCCTGGAGGATGAGCCACGCAGCAAGGATGAAACGCCACTCAGCACCATCGCTGACTGGCAGGACTCTCTCGCCAAGCGTTGCATCTGTGTCTCCAACATCGTCCGCAGCCTCTCCTTCGTTCCGGGTAACGACCTCGAGATGTCCAAGCACCCTGGGCTCCTGCTGCTCCTGGGCCGTCTCATCTTGCTACACCATGAGCACCCGGAGCGCAAGCAGGCGCCCCTTACCTACGAGAAAGAGGAGGAGGAAGATGAGGGAGTGAGTTGCGAGAAGGATGAGTGGTGGTGGGACTGCTTGGAGTTGCTGCGCGAGAACACCCTGGTCACACTGGCCAATATCTCTGGGCAGCTAGACCTCTCCATCTACCCTGAGAGTATCTGTCTGCCCCTGCTGGATGGCCTGCTTCACTGGGCAGTGTGCCCCTCAGCTGAGGCCCAGGACCCCTTCCCCACCCTGGGGGTCAATGGGGTGCTGTCCCCCCAGAGACTGGTCCTTGAGACCCTAAGCAAGCTCAGCATCCAGGACAACAACGTTGACCTCATTCTGGCCACGCCACCCTTCAGCCGACTGGAGAAGCTCTATGGCACGTTGGTACGCCTCGTGGGCGAGCGGAAGATCCCAGTGTGCCGGGAGATGGCGGTGGTCCTCCTCGCCAACCTGGCGCAGGGCGATAGCTTAGCAGCCAGGGCTATTGCTGTGCAGAAAGGCAGTATTGGCAACCTGCTGGGCTTCCTGGAAGACAGCCTGGCAGCCACCCAGTTCCAGCAGAGCCAGAGCTCCCTCCTGCACATGCAGAGCGCCCCCTTCGAGCCCACCAGCGTGGACATGATGCGGCGGGCTGCCCGAGCCCTCCACGCCATGGCCAAAGTGGAGGAGAACCACTCGGAATTTACGTTGTACGAGTCGCGGCTACTGGACATCTCCGTGTCCCCCCTCATGAACTCACTGGTGTCCCACGTGATTTGTGACGTACTGTTTTTAATCGGCCAGTCATGACAGCCGTGGGATGCTGCTCCGGTTTTTGTTCCCCCCGCCCCCCTTTTTGTGTGTCTGTTGCGCGTGAGTGGAGAAAACTTAGAGCAAAACTGACTGTTTTTGTCCTTTTTATTTATGCAAAAACACCTCGGATTCCACTGTCTTGACCCTCGCCCCGTTTCTCACTAGAGGAAGGATATCATGAAGTAGCTGTGGATTTTAAGAAGAAACAAAAGCGAAAGGTGACAAAATCGTGGATAAGACAAACGGAACGAGACCCTGGCCCAGGAGAGTGCGCTGCCTAATGGGAAGGACTTTTTTAATAAAATAAATAAAAAATACAAAAACAAAACTGTAACCAAAGTTGCTGTCTCGTTTACAGTGAGTTTGGGGGATATGTGCCCTAGCTCTCCTATTGGGAGCATGGAGAAATACAATTTTATGGTTCATATTTGGAGGCTAAACAGACTTCTGAACTCTTATGTGGTATAATTGCTGTAACTTGGATGCTATATATTCAGTCTACAGGAACCAGGTTATCGGCTGTGAACAGACGTCTTTAAATGGGAGGCCTGTGCAGTAGATTGTAGGACTTTTTCTGTACTGTACACCTTAAAACTGTAAACATACTGTAATAATACTGTTTCACACTGAGAAACGCTGGCTCGGCAGCAAAACTGTAGTTTTTAAAAATGTTTTTAGTTAACGTTGAAGAAAAAAAATGGCTTTCCCCCCAAAGTATCGTGAACCTACAACACCCCGACCTCTTCTCTTTATCCCTTGATTGTATGAATTTACCCCTCAAAAGAAATCACCTCTTAGGACTGGTTTTCAACTTTAGATGCAGCCTTGCTGCAGTGTATATATGACGTTGTACATTACACTCTTTCTCTCACCTTATGGAGCTCTTCACCCTTTTTATCTTTGAAGAATAAAAGGTTACACAAGTAATTCCCTGCATCAAGTCCTGCCATGTGCTAATTTAACCCTCCCCTTGGCCTCTCTCTCTCCTCTGAGGGTGATGTTCAGCACAGGCTGTGCTAAAACGAGCTGCTGTTTCCCAGACTGCAGTGGATCACGTTTTATTTTCTTTCTAATCCAGGTGTGGAAAAAGAAAAAAAAAGAAAAACCAGTTTGAGGTTCGATCTCAGCTCCTAATACAAAAAACAACCCTGATGAAGAAACACAATTTGAGATTTTTTTTTCAGTGATATGGATTCTGCATATTTGTATTTCAGACGATGTAGCTAAAAACTTGATGTAAATTCCTTTTTTTCCTTTTTTTGGCTTAATGAATATCATTTATTCAGTATGAAATCTTTATACTATATGTTCCACGTGTTAAGAATAAATGTACATTAAATCTTCGTAAGACGTTTGTGATGGTTTTATTCATTTGTTGGTTTGCTCTGTGGGTTTAACCTGCAAAATGTATAAAGTGGAAGCATGCGTTTTTAAACTAAAAGGCACACATACTGTTGCTTTAAAAGGTTGTATTTGCAGTACTATTTGGTTATGTTTGATATTTACTGTTATGTTTCTTGTATAATTTATTTTCCTTGATGGTATTTCTTTTCTATTTCAATAGAAAAGGCTTTGAAATGCTTCTCAGGTGTGTATGACCGTATTGTTGGGAAGCAAATTAGCTTGCATGAAGGTAGTAGTGATTCATTTGAATTGTGCTGCCTTAAATTACTGTTCATCCACCTTCTTTTCAGAAGCCTTTTTTCCCCCATTAATAATGTGGTGAGCTTCAAATAATTGACATCCTTCTCTAAAGAATAACATCACAAAAAAAAAACATTGGAAGGATCTGTCCCCCAAAATATTTCGATATTCCTGCATTCTGTGATCTTCAGCTGCAATTTTAGCTCTGGCGTCTGCATATCTAACTTGCAGAAGTTAGAGAAGGTCAGCCAGAGGAAACTGCATTGTGCTCATACTGGGAGAAAAACTTGTACCTGCTGGAATTGTTTCTGCTAACAGAAGTAGTCGGGGAAATAGTAGGAAAAATAAAATCTATGGAGGCAGTGCTAGAATAAAGCAAAATACAGTTGAGTGAGTTGTCTATATTTTGGGTGAAGTGTAGGGAAGACATTAAAGCATGTTTTAAAAAAGGAATAGCCTAGGTATGGACTATCAGTAGTTTTGATCTTTTGTTAAGGCAGTTTGAGCTGGTCCTTACCATAAAAGGGCAGCATTACAAAATAAGTGGTTGTCTATGAAGTCTGAAAATGCACAGGATTTGATGCAAAAGGGGTCCAAATGTATGCTGTTTGCCGAGTGAGGTAAGGCAATAGGCAGGATAAACATGGCTTTTTACAGAAAAATCCCATTTCATATAAAAAGGAGCCTGGATTCATAAACCATGCATTTTAAGCTATAATTCAAATGTTTTGCTAATGTGCCTACATAGACACCAGCGTGTGCTTGAAACAAATCTGATATTACGACGTTGCTGAATGTGGGAAAAGTTGGTTCTGCAAAAAAGAGGTTGCTCCTTTGCAGCAAAGAAAAATATCCGCCCTGCAATAAAATGTCATTTCATTATAGAGATTTATTTTCATTGCTTTTCCGTGTCCAGGCAGCATAACTTTTTGGCACCTCTCCATCTTCCCCTTATCAAATCATTTCTCCAGCTGATGATAAATAGCATACCTGTTGGGTGATTACATCTCTTTGTGTGCTTGTCGTCGGTGCTGTGCTGAAGCGACAGGGAGAAATTTATTATTCCCCATTCTAGGGCTGTTTTGCAACTTGCACAGGGGATGATAAATCAAATGCATTGTGTTGTTTGCACAGGAATGAACCTTCAGAACTTCTAAAGGACACATCGCCTAAATTGCAATTTCATTATGTTGTATTTACATCCACATTTCCATTCTTCTTGGGGAATGAAAAATATCGGTTTGATGGATCTGAAGCTACAGAGGTTTGATATAATTCGACATTGAAAGGGGAAAAAAGCTGAGCCCGCAACTGGAGAAAAAAAAGAACATACTGTAGGCAAGTGATGTGCAAAATAAAATGTTGGCATTGAATTTTGATTTAAATGGTACTTGCCTTTCATGATATCATAGCCATACGTGCAACCTGAGAGCTGTCGACGACAGGCTGTCTATATAAACAGGTTCATTTATCAATTCACAAATCATAGAACACATTTTTGAGTGATTGCACATATTTTTATTATAGTACGTGCTAATTCTAGCAAAAATAATCTTTGACATAAGTTTATTAGGGGGATTGGTCAGCTGTGCAAAAGCACACAGGTTTTGCTACCAGAGCCCTGTGCAGGTAGCATCTATCCTTCACTACATTCAACTTTTTGGAATTGGGGAATCATTAATTCCAAGTAGAGTAACAATTAGATTGTCGTTTTTCCCTTTATTTCAATTTAACTGAACATTGCCTAGGATTAATTACAGTACATTCCATACTGTTAGCATTCAGTTTTACTTAACTGCTGTACTTGGTTTTGGAAATATCCGCTTTAAACGCATAAATCTAGAACTTGCCCGTGCGTGGCCAATACAAAAGTGTTCTGGTGTGCAGATACTGTCGGATTCTTATGTACGCTGCGCCTGTGAAATAAAGATGTATTTTGTCATATGTGTGTCATTCTAATGCAGGGAAAGGCTACAATATCAAAGCGCATTGTTTAGCATCTTAGAAACAACTTGAAGAATCTGAATCTTGGCCTTGAGGTAAGACACAAACAGGTACGTACACCTTCAAATGGATGCTGTAAGGGTGTTGTGCAATGAACCGCAAACTTTTAAATGTATATTCGTTTCCTTATTGAAAACGCATAATAAAACAAAGATGTTGTAATAACTAAGATGCTTCCCAAATGGAAATCTTAAATGATTAGAAAACTGAAGGAAAGCGCTACCACGGTGAATTTGCGTGTTTGTCGTCAATTATGTGTGAGGACAGCGCCCTCTGCAGGCCAGAGCGATGCTTAGAAAATCCATTCAAATGTTTCTCCGGTGCTGGTACGTGTCAGCACGCAGATATTAACTTGACGTAAATAAACCTCTTCGTACCTTATTTTTTAACATTTGCAGTTTTATTGCATTTCTGCTACCGCAGCTGAACGCCCGGCAGGGGTTTTACAGCAACAGAGCGTTCGAAAGTTTGCGAAATGGTCGGTCCAGATGAGCTAGCCACCTCTCATGTTTTGTGGAAAGGCCTGCTCCGCAACGCGCCTTCACTCAGCTTAGGGTGTTTGGATCCGGGGAATAGAATATTGACTACAAAGCAGCCTGTTTTCAGGACGATAACGCGTTCATGTAGTAGCTTGAAAATCAGGGCATGCAGCTCAGCGCCACCCGCCCTGTGGCGTGAGAGTGGAACTGCGCATGCGTGCCGCTGTCGTCACAGGCCGGAAGACCAGTGGATGGTGTTGGGCTTTCTGTCTCTGCAAGAAAATACATCTCTTCGGTTTACTGGTGTGTGTGAATAGGAAACCGGGGAAGCAATAGTCAGTGGATTGTTGTCTGCACTAGGCCGGTTCGTTCACTGGGTTGCGAGAGAGTATCTTTCTAACCACGGTTTAAGGTGCATGTGAAGTGTCTTCATCCCTGCTTCCTTTACACGTAACACAGAACAGGTGAATCTTCTCAGGAAAACAATCGTCGTCGAAAATAGATATGTGGAACTTAAAGAGATCTCATCGCTGTGCAGTGTTGCGGTTTAGCGCGGTATTATGCTTTAAATACTATGTCGTGGTATAAATGACTTTTTACCTTAAGGTCTGTGCGCGCGTGTTCACAGTAAGAGTATGCATCTTTCTCTTATTTAAAACCACGTTTGACAGAATATTGTAATCTTTAACATTTGTCTTTTTTTTTTTGGTTCCGTTATGCCTAGGCTAGTTTTGCCCCCACAAGTGAAGTGACTTCAATAGATGTTGTAATTAAAACACGCAAATAAGCACAACCTCGGGCAACGGACCCAAGGAAAGGTGCATGTGAATGAAATACTGTATGAACCCCGTTAACTGGTCGGTGCTCTTTCTCCAGGACTGCGTGACTCCACTTCCCTCCAGCCGCGGTGTAGGAAGGCGGTGTGTGATGAGGCTGGAATGGAAGGGCGCGGTGTGGCGGCGTTCGCTGTCTTCACACGGATTCTGACTCTGATATTACAGGTGAGGTGCGGACTCTGCTACAGCTGCTTTGTTGCGCAGGAAGTAGTCATTCCCCCTCCCTCCACTGACCCTGGTCGGTAAAGTGCGATCCCAGACAGAAGACAGCTGCTCTGTAACTGCTGCTCCCTGTAACACTTTCCTAGCCTTGCATGCTGTTCAGCATTTAAACAAGCTTTCTTTGAGGTACTGGATATTCCTAAAAATGTTTTTGTTTATGCTGTTCAGAGTTTCTGCCAGGCCTTTATAATACCAGGTGAAGCTTTAAATATTTGAGGTGCTGCTCTTATTTGTAAGGTATGTGTGGAGTTTGCATGTTGTCCCCTTGTTGGCATGGGTTTCCTCCAGGTGCTCCTGTTTCCTTCAACAGCCCAAAGACATGGTGAATTGGATTGGGGAAGATCGGCCCAGCTGTGTGTGATTGTGTCTTTGTGTGTGTGTGCCCTGCCCTTTGCCTGTTGCTTGCCAGGATGGGCTCTGGCTCCCCCACGACTCCTGTACTGGATAAAGTGTTCAGATTGTTGCACTTGGATCACAGTGCTTTTATTGTCCCATGTGCTGTGGCAAGAGATCCTCTGGTCACTTTCTTGGTCAGATACAATTTCTTGTATTAGGAATTTGTCTTTCCGCATACCCTAACCTGCTCTCCAGGAGACACACAGACAGGGAGAGAAGCTTGGGGTCAGAGCACAGGGTCAGCCAGTTACACGGCAGCCCTGGAGCGGTTGGGGTGAAGGGCCTTGCTCAGTAGGATTCCTCTGCCGGCCGTGGGATATGAACCGGCAACCTTCCAGCCACAGGCACAGATCCTGAGCCATAGAGCCACCGCTCTGCCCAAAAAAACGCACTTCGCCGGCAGAGCAGGATTAGACCAGAACGAGGTGGGTTCGAACCCCCTCCGAGTGGGGCTCTAGGCTGCTCTGCGTCCACCTTGCCTGAAGTCAGGTTCTCGCTAGGGGGCGACACTGACTTTCCCCGCTGCAGAGTTCCGGTCCAGGCACGTCTGCCTTGTCTTTCAGGCGCTGTTCAACGCCCTCATTCCGGATCACGTCCCGGATGCGTTCGCCCCTCCCCGGGCCGGGGAGCCCCGCGTCCTGGATCCTGCGGTTGAGCTGCTGTTCGGGGGGCTCTCCCACTGGGACGCCGAGCACTTCCTCTTCATCGCGGAGCGGGGCTACCTCTACGAGCACAACTTTGCTTTCTTCCCCCTGCTGCCCCTGAGCCTGCGGGCGGTGGCCACCGGGGTCCTCTGGCCGCTGGGGGGGTGGCTGAGCGTGCGCGGGCGCCTGCTGCTGGCCGTGGTGCTGCTGAACAGCCTCCTGTTCGCGCTGGGCGCCCTGGGCCTGTACGGGCTGGGCCGGGCGGTGACACAGGACCGCCGGCTGGCCTACTGCTCCAGCCTGCTGTACTGCCTGACCCCCGCCAATGTCTTCATGGCGGCGGGCTACTCCGAGAGCATGTTCGCGGGCCTGGCCTTCGGGGGCATGTGGCTCCTGGAGAGCGGGCGCACGCCGGGGGGCTGCCTGGCCCTGGCCCTCGCCACGGGCGCCCGCTCCAACGGGGTGGTGAATGTGGGCTTCCTCCTGTACCTCCAGCTGCGGCGCTGGGTTTCCCAGACCAGAGCTGTGAGCGGGTCTCCTCTGGGGCTCGGCCGCTGCCTCCGCTACGCCTGGATTTCGGTCTGCAGGCTGTTGACGGTGACCCTAGGGGCTGCGGTCATCCTCCTTCCTTTTGTCCTTTTTCAGTATTATGGCTATCGGACGTTTTGCACGCCGGCAGTAGGACCAGGAGATATCCCTCCTGAACTTCTTGAGCTGGCAGAGCTGAAGGGCTACCAGGTCCCGGACGTGACCAAAGACCCCCCTGCCTGGTGTCTCGAGCCCTACCCTGTGCTGTACTCCCACATCCAGGATGTCTACTGGAATGTGGGCTTCCTCCGATACTACCAGCTCAAGCAGCTGCCCAACTTCCTCCTGGCTCTGCCCGCTGCGGCGCTGACTGCTGCGGCCGCCTGGGGGTACTTGACAGCCGACCCCCGGCTGTGTTTGCGTCTGGGGCTCCCGGGAGACCGGCCAGCCGAGGGGGGGAGAGGAGGTGAACGGGACAAGCCTGCCGCTGGATTCCACAGCCCCAGGGTGTTTGTGTACCTCGTGCACGCCACAGCGCTGCTGCTCTTTGGGGCTCTGTGTATGCATGTTCAGGTGAGACGCACTGCTTCTTAGAAGCAGAATTCGGAACAGTGGTGGGGAAAAAAAATAATTGAAATGCATTGCTAAAAAATTAAAATTCCCGTTTATGAGCGGGACTGCTGTTAAACATTTTTTTGGGGGGAAATGTGCCAGCATAACGGCATGACACTTTGCAAAAATAATGTGCACTGTCACATCAACGTGCATTTACGTGTGATACGCTTTGGCTAAACGCGTGTCGTTTTAAGGAGCACAAACAGAAAATGACTGTCCAGCTCCTTCAGGGATTGATAGCCGTGACAGGTAATGGCTAGGAACCCTCAATAAGACACCAGCTTTTCTGCCTTCAGGTTCTCACCAGGTTTCTCGGCTCGTCGTCTCCGGTCCTGTACTGGTACGGCGCTCACCTTCTGGTCGCTCGCGAGCCCCTGCTGGCGGGAGATGGCGCCTGGCGGCCGGGCGCGTGCGGGGGCCTGCTGGGAAACCCCCTGGCCCGGCTGCTGCGCGCCTGGAGGAGCTGCTCCCCTGTCACGCGCTGCGTCCTGGGCTACTTCACGTCCTACTGGCTCCTGGGCCTGGTGCTGCACTGCAACTCTCTCCCATGGACCTGAGAACACCCCCCCCGCCCCCGCCCCCCGTCATCTCTTCGCTCCCGGCCCTCGGCTCGCTGGAGCCCACCGGTTTCCGTCTCCCGAGCAGTCCTGCTGCACTGTGCCGGCTTGTCAACGTCTGCACCGGCTGACTTACCTCACTGCGGAAGATGACTGTAAAGCATTTGACGGCAGCAAAGGCTTTCTGTTGTCTTAGAAAACCCTGAAAACTGGCACTACTGCTGTGGCCGAGGAGAGAAAAGCTTTAATAAAGTCTGCAGCCCAGGTGGCTGCCGTTTAGCTGACCTAACACACATCCCTGCTGGGTTTCCCAGGTCTGGTGATTTCGATTTCCTTATATTTGTGTAACAGTGCTCAACAGTTGGCCTTTTCGTTTTTATTTCTTGTGAATCTGCTGTCGGGCGAGGTGGATGGTGTGACCTTTATCTGACTTTTTGCATGTAAATACGTTTTGTTCCCATCAAAAGTCATGTTTTTTTATGGATTTTCTTTTGTTTCCGAGTTTGTGCTTCTGCTTTGTCCCCTCGCAGGCAGTGATATGACTTTATCACAATTAATATTACATTACGTCTGGCTGAAGCCAGAACACATTGATTACTTTTTTCCTCCAAGTGTGTTAAATTTAAAACAAGCTTATAAAACTTAGAACGGAAACCAAAATACCTTCAGCCTGGTTTACATTCACTAAACCGTTTGCTACATTTTAGATAAGTTTATTTCTGCATCATTTAAACTTTTTTTATCCATTGCTCGTTTAATTTAATAGTTAACCCATTAACACAGATTTAAAAATCCTACAATGAAAGAGCCCAGATTTGCACTCTGAAGTCAAGTGTTATTTTTGCTGTCGCCAGCTGCAGGTGAAATCCGACATTTTTACCCAAACTCATTTTTTAAGGAAATGTAATTATGTAAAAATGTAATAATACAAAGTAATGACTTTTTGATCAGGCTGGTGAACACATGCAAGTCTCAGTAACAGGAGATATTTATATATAAGGATATAAATGCATTTCTGATTAGTTTTTTTCTTTCTTGCTGGGATTTGTAATTGGTATCCACACTATACAAAATCCTTTTCGATTTTTCTGAAATGTCCTTATTCATGGGTGCTGCTTTTGATATAACAGGCTGGACAGCCGCAGGATGATGAATCGCTCATTGTGGATGAACATGTCTCACACAGTGTCTTTCCTGCCTGTGTCTCTTCATCAGCAGATTGATCAACTAGTTAAGTCAACTGACTTGGTCAGAAACAACAACAAAAAAGATGAGGAGAGGCTGGGAGAAGTTCTGTGTGCTGTTTGCAATTCCGAAATGGCACTTCAAGGGACTGAATTGGTCTAATGTATTGGCACAAGCAAGCGTGCAATTTACAATATCTGTTCAGTCATCAAGTCATAATGAAAATCTGAATTAAAATTGTACATCTAAAGAAAAACACTATTCTTAGACCAGGCTGGGATATGTTTGTTTTTCTAAGCATTCTGGATGAATAGAAGTAGTGAACTCTCAAGCAATGGGTATAACACCTCTCTTCTGAAAAAGATCCCGGATCCATTTCATGTCCTCAGGCAGGATGAACTGTCGTTTAGCCACCAAAGAGTTCAGCAATCTTCAGCACTCTGCTTTGTGAGTCTTCCTTCTCTAGCTTTGTGTGTAATGTCAGTGAAAGGGGCAGGTTTATTGCTACATCATCATGTGTTGTAGACTTTTTTTGAAGCAGTTTTTAATGCAGAGGTGAGATTTTTTAAGTATCTTCCATCAAGCAGAGAACAGTAAAGAAAACTATGGTTCCTTGAGGTTCATGGTCATGTTTAAATGCTTTCAGAAGAGTTTACCAACCTAGTTTAAGGTCATTTTACACTGATAAAGATCCTTTCCTTATGTTTTTAAAGAGAAAGGAAGACAGTAGAGAATATTGCAGGAATATTGAGTCTATATGAGTATACTGTACAATCTAAGGAGCAATAAAAATCATAATGAAGAGTAGTTTCCTTTATGTACTGCATCACTATGAGGGCTCTGCCCAGTATTAAGAGGTTGACTATAAAATGTATGCATCAGATGACCCGATGTCGAATCTTGCAGTGAAATTGTTAGTTGTACTAAACCCTAGAGAAGGTTATTGTGCAGTACGGGCAGGTTTTTCGGCCAATGCTGCCATCTAGTGAAACAAGTGCATAATAGCACCTGGTGCCTTCTCGGTGGTGGTAATTAATTGAGAACTGCTGCAGTAATTTAGAGCCAGGAGAACCTACTGCATGTGTGCTGACCATTACCTGTCAGAGCTTTCATTCTCTATTGTTGAGAAGTCATCCTATCTTGTTGAAACGGCCATTGTAATCCATTTGGGGATTTTTCACTGATGTGACCAATTAATGTAGACTGGTCACATCTGAAACATGGTATCGCATGCTGACGACTGCTTCAGCAACTTTCACTTAACACAGCGATCAATAGATCATCTGTCGCCTGATTCAACTGTTTTTCAAAATTCAGAAAATATATCATTATAACAAAATTCTGTATTAAAGAGTTTTTAAAGGTTTTGCATAACCTAGAAATAAAAAAATCAAGGATCTATTTCCTGCTTTCTGTTTCTATCATAATTTCTTTGTCTTGTCTTTATTTCAAACAGTTTAAAAATGAGGGAAAGAAGATGCGATCCCTCAGTCCCTCAAGATACATATCTTCTCGCCTTCTTTTCCTGGCTGTGACGTCACTCTCTGACGTACGAAACTGCAACGTCACGACCACCAGATCTTTCAGTTTTGATCTTTTGATCAGTTCGCCCCAGACTTTGCAGCCTTTACACGAATAAACTGTCTTACATTTAGGGAGGAGTTACAAGGCTAGTTCATTGGGTTAGGTGTTTTCTTTTAATTTTTAACAATGTTCCCGAAAATGTATTGCTTGTGTACTCCTTTCAATGGTTAAGAGACACCAGTTTCCAAATTACCGCTAGTATATTCATATTTTTAGGTATTAGTTTCAAGATCGATATCATTTAACAATAAAAAACAAAATTAAAAGCACGAGCATAATAATATAATGATCATGACTTTTCATTTCTTTTCACTTTTGAAGTCCAAAGCAGAAGGTGTTTCCCCTACCTTAAATATGCGATTAAAATTGTTCAAATACCATGTATTCATTACAAGCAGCGGAGACAGTTATATTGCGATTAAAAAATGTATTTCGAAGAGTACGGGACATTGTGAATCAATAAAGACGTTAAAAAATAAGCCGATGTAGTTATTTTGCAAATAACTTAAGCGTTTTAAAAAATAAATTATTATTGACGGTAAATAAGCCGATCCACCTGGCGCTGCTGGCTTGAACAGCTTTTAGACCCGTGATTGGCTAAACCCCCGAACAGGTCGGGCCGCGATTGGGTGAAAAGTGAGAATCGACGCTCTGATTGGGTAAAGCGCCACAGCCGAGGTTCCGTGTGTACTGTGTGTGCTGTATGAGCACGCTAGATATACAGTAACACATGTATTGGTTTCCAATTATTGATCAATCTAAGAGAAGTCGCAATGAGGTCTGAATAGCAGACAAAGAATGTCATGGCATCCACAGCGCGGTCACGACTCCAATAGCACGTCACGATAGGAGTGCCACATCACGATCACATCGATACCCATTGCGACTGGCGCACCACTGTCATGGCGCCACTCGCGACATTAAGTCCATATATCGCGATATGAC